AGGATGTGGAGGATTGTTAATAATTCCATGTTTAATACCTTGTTTTACTAGACTGATACACTTGGTCATACAAGGAATGCAGATAACTGCAGTATACTAAAGACAAAAGAAAATCCAAAATTGGCACCAATTCGGCAAGTATTGACTCAATTAGAAACAAAAACACGAATCAATACCATAAAAAAGAAGATGGGGGATTGTGAAATGTGTTCATCTGCTTCGTGTTAACTGTTCTGTTTGTCCTTGTATGACCATGGGCTTGGGAGAAGCGGGATTGTATGTATGTAGTTTCTGTTTCTTGTAAGAACCCCTAAGGAAACCAGTTTTTGTTACTGGCCACGTGGTGCTGAACGGGAGGGGTCTGTGGGGCGCACGCCTGGAGTCGGGGGTCATCCTGGGGGGGAGCCAAGGAAAACTCATAGAAGATTCCAGAAGGTGAGGAGGGCATGCGCCAAAGAAGACACGCCTATCATTAGCATAGGCCAACCTTTGTATGAATATGTATTAGGAGAAGCGATATAAACCCCAAAACGGGACTTGCACGTGTGTGCCTTGGTTGAGCGGAGACTCCCGGTGCACCCAGCGCTGTCTTTACTCATTTAATAAATTGTAAACTCTAATTGGAATCCTGTTTGAGGAAAAAAAACCTTTATCACAGGCACGTTTCTGGCTCCTGGATAGTTTACTATCCACCGGGACCCCCAGATCCTTCTCAGAGGGGCTTTCCAGCAGGTCCACTCCTAACCTCTATTGGCCACCCCCTTGGAGTGTCAGCCTCGGATAACCCCAGGTCTGGGCGGGCAGAGGAGAGGCCGCGGGGGCGGATGCAGGGACGGGAGGTGCCCTCAGTGACACCGTGCCCACGGAACCCGTGGACTGTCCCGGTGAGGGCACGGTTTCAGCCACCGCCTCGCCACGTACCGGCCCAAGCAGGAGGGGACTCCAACAGCACCACCTGCTGCTAATGAAAGACCAGCCAGCTAATTACAGAGGGCAGGAAATGAAGCATGCAAACAAAGCTGAAGTATTAGGTGGGTGCCGGGCAGCCGGGAGGTCGGTTGTGGGGCAGGGCCCGTCCCGCGGCCACGGCGGGGGGCTGGGGGGCCACATACGGAGGGCGCCGTGAGCAGCAAAGCGGGGGCAAAGGCTGCGCCGGGGAAGCAGAGAACGGAGAGAGCGGGATGGAGAGGGACGGTCCCGGAGGCCACCGGCTGTCCCCAAGTTTGGGGGGGGCCCTGGGCGGCGGGGGGGGGGGGGGGGTGTTCCAAAAG